GAACTTATAGTACATATAATTTTTTTTCTTTTTCAAAACAACATTTATAAGTTAAAAAAAATATTGGGGGTCCCAAAAATATATAAAGTCCTGAGCGATGATTTTCGTGACCTAACAATTAATAGGACCATGTGTGATGTGAATGCTTAATTTAAAAAATGACTCTGGATTAATAATTAGCAAAGTCAATGATTGATAAATTAAACCAACCTTGGTTGATGTTAATAAATTAATCCAATATGTTTATTTGGGGACCTAATCATACACTCAATAATATTAAAAGTTGAACTATCAAATTAAATTAATTTTTTAGGTTATATGATATTTAGTAATTTGGTACTTAATATAATATTTAAGAGTAAACTTTTAGAATTATGGTATTTGAGTTTGAATTTGATATAAGACATTAGTAACATTTGATATTTAGTAAATGCCAAATTGTTTACTTAATAAATATCATATAACATATTTAGTATAAGCCCAAAAGGAATGTTAAAAAATAAACATGAATAATCCAAATACATATTATTTTTAGGTTATATCAATTTGTTTTTTTGATGTCTTCTTACTTGTTCATTTTCTATTATATTTTACCCATATTAATTATGAAATGGATGAATTAAAAGATTTAATATTTTCAAGAAATTCTACCATAATTCAAAGTAATTAATTGATGGTATAATAGGTAAAAGAATTTATCCTTTCTTAATTTGTCAAAATTCACAAATAATTGGGGACAACTAAAAAATGAAAAATGGACAAGTAATTAGGGACATAGGGAAATATTAACTCTGTAATAAAATTGGTTATAACTTCAATACGGTATTATCGAATGCCGTACTGTTTTCTGAATTACTAAATCAAAAATTAAAATTTTGACATTTAGTATCTACTTTTAAATATATCAATCATCCAATTACCGATTTTGAAATTTGAAAAACCCAAACTGAATATCAAATACTCCTACATTCAATTATATTATTTGCTTTATTTATCATCTCAATTTCAAACAAATTAGAAAAGAATATACTCAAAATGAATCCTATTCCACTAATAATATTTATCTATTTGAATCATATCAGAACTTATTGCAAACTGAAATTACAATAAATCTAATTATCTGTTAGTTTTGTGGTCTTTATGTAATTATGTCTGAAACTCATCTTTTATAAGCAGAAACTAATAGAAATTCTACTTAATTTAGAAAAAATCATATTTAAAATATACTCCTTGGACTAAGTAGTGTTAATTTAAATAGATATAATACTAATTTTAACCATTATTTTTTATTAAAATAAAATTAAGTGTTACCAACTATACTGATTGTTTAAGTAGAAGAATAGGTGTCACCAACAAATTACAGTACTTCTTTTTTTCAACTAATGACATGAATGTTTAATTTAAAAAATGACTTTGGATCAATAATTAAGAGAAGTCAAGTGTAATTTTTTTATGAAATAATTTAATGGAAGATATAATTGTAATATTAAACGAAAATTAAATCCTTATTCCTCGTATTAATAAATAGGTAATACAAGGCATATGCATATGAGGAGAAACTTCTCCGCACTGGATATATACATCAAATCAATACATGCATGTGATGTTATGCGTTAAACTTTATAGTTCATTATACTTAATTGATCATAATTGATTAACATGTATTTACTTTGTCAAATCGCATAATAATTAAAATTGCATTAGTTTAGTGTGTAGATTCAATGCGAAAAATATTGATAGTCTTCACTAATTATATAGTTTTTATAAAAAATATGGTTGTAAGTTCAAAGTTTTATTATGGTCCATTATTTTGTACAAAATGTTTCAGCCATGTAAAACAAAATTTAATCAATAAAAACAATAGTGAACTTTATCATAAATTAAAAAAATTATCATAACTTTTTCCTCAAACCAATCACATGTACATCTTTGATTTAGTGAATGTAAAATAAGAAGAGAGATTAACTTTCTTCGATATGGATAATAAATAAGAAATATAATATGAAGTTTATGTTAAAAATAAAAGTTGTCGTGTAAATTCTTGCCAAATACTTCCTCCGCCGGTAATATTTGTCATAATTTTTATTTTTAGAGTTAAACTATAAAAACTTTGACTAACATTTTAAGATGTATTTTTTCATCATATTAATACGCAAAAAATTGTAATTTATAGTACTTTTCATATAGTCTTAAAATATTTAAATTTTTTGTTTAAAATATTGAATTAATATAATTTAATTTGTCTTTGAAAATTAATCAAATTGATTTTCGATAAACACAAATGACAAATAATTCTGGATGGAGGGAGTATTAACAGACATTAAATATAATCTACATTGAAATAAAAATAAAATGAAAGGTTATTTTGTCCTTTGGAAACTTCAAATGTTTCAAGTGTAGCACATCTTTTTTCTTTTTTTAAATAATTTTTTTTTTTGCAAGAAGTCTTTAAAATTTAATATCCTTATTTGAATTTGGCCTTACTTTTATCTGTTAAAATGAATTAGTTTAGTAACAAATTGTACAGTTTTCCAACTATTCTTATTAGTGATTCTCTTTCACCAACTATATTATTTCATCAAGTCATATTAAGTTTCACCAACTATATTACATTATTATTTTTCAACTAATGACTTGAGTGTTTAATTTAGAAAATGACTTGGGATCAATAATTAAGAGAAGTCAAGGATTTATAAATTTATCCTAACATATTTATTTTGGAAATCTAATCACACACCCAATCATATTATTTGCTTTATTTATTATCTCAACAGAAATAATATTCATATCTCAATTCCAAACAAGTTGAACAATACATACTTTAAATATTTTATCAACCTATTTTGCTCCTTCAATTATAAGACTTTTTTCATGAAATAATTTAATGGAATCTATGATTGATAGTACTATAATATCTCAAGTTGTCTATCATTAACTTGACATATTTCTCAAAAAATAATATCTCAAGTGGACGTTTTCTTCGAATACTCCCTCTGTTACTTGTAACTTATTCTTAAATAAATTTTTATTTTTACTTGTCATTATTTGACTTCAACACATTTATTAGAAAAATAATTATTGATATAAGTTTTTACTACACTATTCTTATTAAATGATGTTTAGTATTTGATTCTGAAAATGATTTGGAGAATGAATATTAAATACTGGAGGTAAAAATGGGAAAAAAGGAGTAATTGTTTTTTCTTTATATGTCAAAAGTCACGAGTAAAAATGATAAATTTATTTTAGAAATAAGTGACAAGTACTAAAAGTGAATGGAGAAACTGTTTTTTTTTTTCCATGTTTTATCTTTAGCACTAAATACTATATTCCCAATATCATTTTTGAATACATAATACTAACAATAATTAGTAGGTATAGTGTGATAGAATATCTATATTAATAATTAATTTTTAATGAATGTATCAAATTAAATATTGACAAGTAAAAATGAACGAAAAAAATAGTTTTTGTAAGCATATCTAACCACGACCATTTTATTAACGAAGTCTTTCGTCTTATGTAATATATTAAGTACGACTGCCATTAGAGTTGCTATCTATAATTTGTTGGTGGTGATTAAAAAATTACAAAGACAAAGTTGAATTTATGTTATTTATTTTTATTTGTCTATTATATCGGATTAATATTTTTATTTTAGAAAAGACAAATATTTAATTTTATTTATGTTTTACCTTTACCGTTAGCATTAATTATATATTTTTCAAGACTTAATACCCCCTCCTTTCTTATTTATATGTTAGATTTCATGTGGATTAATAAACTAACTAAATTTACTATTCTACTCTTATTTAATGTTTTTATTTTTGAAATCAAGTTTTTATTATTTTGACCGACAAATATAAATTGCTTATTTAGTTTTTTTATTTTTATGTTGGTAAGGAAATATATAACTTAGAAAGGTAAAATAGAAAGAATATATGATCATTTATGGATTGATTTTGTAAAAGGACAATATATAAATATGAATTGAGAAAGTAGTAAACATGCATCAATTAATAGGAATAATGTACTTCCTCCGTCTCATTTTACGTGACACCATTTTCTTTTTTGTCAGTCCTAAAAGAATATCACATTTTCTTATATGGTAAGTATCTAAAGGTACGATTCTTATTATAATCTTGTTGGTCCCACTTAATTTCAAAGATATTACTCCCTTCGTCCGGTATTGCTTGTCATGATTTATATTTATAGAGTCAAACTTTATGAACTTTTACTAACATTTTAAGATGTAATTTTTTCATCATATTGATATATAAAAAATTACAATTTGTATCACTTTTCATATAGTTTTTGAATATCTAAATTTTTTTAATTTAAAATATTAAATTAATGTAATCTAATTTAACTTTAAAAATTAGTCAAATTGACTTTCGAAAAGCGCAACATGACAAATAAAACTGGACGGAGGAAGTACTCTAATACATTTATGAAGAGAGAGAGAGAAAAGTAATTTTATTTCTTTAAAGTATAAACATTTCAAAGTTTTTATTATTTTTTAAACTCCGTACCCAATCAACTATTATCACGTAAAATGAAAGTAGTAAATAACCACCGTTTTCTTAATGGACATGTCAAGTCATACCATATATATATATTAAATAATTGTGTATGACTAATTAATGAGTAATTTTATAGGTATAGAGGTGGTAGTATATTTAGGTAGACAAATACCGTATTGCTTGTCATGATTTATATTTATAGAGTCAAACTTTATGAACTTTGACTAACATTTTAAAATGTATTTTTTTCCCCATCATATTGATATATAAAAAAAAATTGCAATTTGTATTACTTTTCATATAGTTTTTTGAATATCTAAATTTTTTTGTTTAAAATATCAAATTAATGTAATCTAATAGTCAAGTTGACTTTCAAAAAGCTCAACCTAACAAATAAAAGTGAACTCTAATACATTTATGAAGAGAGAGAAAAGTGATTTTTTATTTTTTTCAAAGGACTATATATTTTGGTAAACATGAGTAATTTTATAGGTATAATAGAAGGTGGTAGTATATTTAGACAGACCAATACAAGGCTACTTGTTCATAAATTATAAAGTTGCTAACTATGGCAGATGTAGTAATGAATTTGCTTGTGGAGAGCTTGTTTCAAGTAATAAGTGATAAAATAGAGGCGATTGGAGGTGCAAAGGATGAGTTGAAGAATCTGTTGCAAGACATTAACACACTGAAAGCATTTCTGAAGGATAATGATGAACAAGCTGAGAGCAACAGCAATTTGTGGAAGATATTTGTGAAGAATATTCGAACACAAGCGTATAAAGCTGATGATGTTATTGACAAATTTGTACTTGAGACCAAACTGGATGAAGAAAAAAGTATATGGGAATGGCTTTTTGATTTCTGTAGCCATATGAAAAGAGTTGAAAATCTTGCAAACAGTATCAAAGATATACGTGACAGCGTCAGGACGATTCGACAAGAAAATCCACAGATTTTCCAGCCCAACAGAACCATAAATCTTCCAACAACACTTGCAAGGGAGCCTCAGGTACTAAATTTTATCATATCAAATGAGATTTTTCCTTTTCACAATATTATACAAACCGCTGTTTGTTAATTATTTGTGAAAGGGGAAACATACTTAGTTTCGTTATTATGAATTGATATATCCATCGTTATTATTCAGAAATAAACCTTTTTATTCTAATAGAAGTAATCTTAAATTATTTTTTGTTTAATTTTCTAATCAAAAGAATAAAAGGTACATTTAATCCTCCACACACGTTTTTTTTACTTTATTAATCCAACTATTAATTTGAATTTATTATTTTGATGGTTAATTTTTTTTTTACTTATTTTTCTTGTAGAATTCATTATGGATGCTCCAATTTTTTTTGTATATAAACTAAATTACAATACAGTAAAAAAAAAAGCTTAATTATTTTTCTCTTTTTTTCATTCACACTCATTTTTTTTATGTTTCTTTTTAATGAATGAAAGAAAGAAAAATGAAACAAGAATAAAAAAACTTAAGTAATACATAAATAAAAGAGTCCAAAAAATAATTTATATGTGAAAAAAATCAAATACATAATTTTTTAAGAAACAAAAAATAAAAAAAGTAATTTAAAATTTATTTTATCATATTTGTAACAGTAAGGGTATATGTGAATCACTTTTGTAACCATAAGAGTTATATGTGAGCTAACTTTGTAACGAAAGAGGTATATGTGAACCACTTTTGTAACAAATAAATATCAAATCTAAATGACAAAGTTGAGGATATATCAAGGACGACGAAAGAGGTAATAGTGGTGATGGAGGAAGAAGAAGATGAAGTAGTGGAGGAGGAGGAAGAGAAGAAGGTGGTGGAAGAGTAAGAGGAAGATGTAGTAGATGTCGAACTCCCTTAGGTTATTTTGTGTGTCTATTTCTTTAGACTTTGGACTCTCTTGTTTAAAATTTTGATTCCGCCACTGATGACGACAACAATAGAAGATACGGTCTTTGCGTAAATAGTAAAACTTGAGAGTTTTAAAATTAGTGTTATTACCATTACTCTTACTAAAAACTGTTTTTTTTTCTTCGAATTTATAGGCCTAGCCAAAGGGTCTTAAGCCAGAAAAATAGAAAAACATTTAGTGAAAATGTTTCCTCCCTACCAAACAGACTAATATGGACTAGTGGGAGTAGGTAACGTTGTTTTTGAACATGATGATAGTTATTGATCTCTTTTGTTATCTTGTTCTTCAAAGTTGAATTACTTGTATGGTGATTTTAGCTAAAAGCATATGCATAAACATGACTCTTAATTTGATATCAGTTGATAACTATGATCTTTAATTTTGAATGTGCACAAGCAGACACTTAAACTTGTATAAAATTGCTCAAAGTAGACACATTCATTCTAGATGACAATTTTGTGTATTATGTCATACTCGTTCAATTCAATACAAATTTAAATATCTACTCGTGCTCATTTTTGTGCAAAAATGAATAGATTTTTGTGACATCATCGAATTCTTAATGGAGTGAGTATATATAGGATACATTCTTGGAGGTTAAAAATATGGTTGGGTTGACTGAAGAAGCAAATGAAGTGATGAAGCGGCTTCAGATTGTTGGAGGAACAGAGGAGGTAGAATGCATAGCTATTGTGGGTATGACTGGACTTGGAAAAACCACACTGGCAAGAAAATTATGGAGTGATTCTCAGATTACAGATAAATTTTGCAAGAACATTTGGGTTTCTGTCGGACAGTCGAACGATCTAAAGAATATGCTTTTTGTGATTCTCAAATCATCTACAGTACCTAATGAAGAATTTCGCTGTAATGGTGAGAATGAATTAGCTAAATTAATAGCTAAGTTTGTGACTGAACAAGACATGAGGTGTCTCGTTGTGTTGGACAATGTGTGTGGTAGCGGACTTGTGAATTTTTTCAAAAATGTTCTCCCAGAAAACAACAAAGGACATAGGATCTTGATGACCACTCGCCGCAGAGATGTGGCAGCTAGTTGTGCAAGTAAGGAACCTTATCATCTCAAGTTTCTCGATGGAGAAGACAGTTTTCGGTTGCTGGAAAAGATAGTTTTTGACAATGGAATTAGGCATAGGAAGGATGAGTTAGTAGAGGTTGGTAAGAGTATTGCAAGTAAATGTGGCGGATTACCACTTGCAATAGAGGTAATTGCTGGAGCTCTAAAAAAAGTTGATCAGAGCGCGTATTATTGGAAAAGGGTAGAGAACAATTTTTGGCAGTGTGTTGTGAGAGAAAATGACACATCAAGCTGCTGGAAAATTGTGGAAGCCAGTTATGGAAGTTTGTCCTCCGAAATGAAGGCGTGCTTCTTGTATTGCCTAGCATTTCCGAAAGGCTATGACATCCCTTTTCAGATGTTGATTAGCTTGTGGATGGCGGAGGGGCTAATAGAGTCAAATCCAATAAATTTCTCTTCCCCTAAGGACAAAGCAGAGGATCATTTGATGGAGTTTGAGAATTTGAACCTTGTGACTGTGTCGAGAGAGATTACTGGTTCGATCAAAAAGATCAAATGTAATGAAATATTCTATGACTTCTACAGGATGGAGGTGACTAAAGAAAGTGTTTTTCAACAGCTAGGTCAAACACATGATCTTCCATCCATAAACGATCCAGATATTTCTCGTCGATTGCATATTGAATCCTCTCATCTTTCGGATTTTATCTCCCAAAATCCTAGTGCAGAACATGTTAGATCTTTCTTATGTTTCCCCTCGGATGATCGTGTTGCTAATGTCGACATTCAACTCATCCCGAAAGCATTTCCACTTCTCAGGGTTCTGAAAATTGAATCAATCAACATACCCTCCTTGAAGAATCTTGACCAACTATTTCATCTGAGGTACATTTCTATCTCAGGTAATTTCACGGAACTTCCTGCATTCTTTACTAAGTTTTGGAGTTTACAATCTATTATAATTAATACGTCCCACCCCACTCTCGACGTAAAAGCAAACATATGGAACATGTCAAAGTTGACGCATTTGAAGACCAACAAACCTTCTAAATTGCCTCTCCCTTCAACCCAAAAGGGAAAACGCTCCTCCTGCCCCCTGCAGACTCTTTCTAAGATTTCACCTCAAACTTGCAACAAAGACGTGCTCGGAGAGGCTTCCAACAGCCTCAAAAAATTGAGCATACAAGGGAACATAGAAGATACTCTTAAAACGAACAGCGACAGATTCAGCACGTTTGAAGGGTTTCAAACTTTTGAAAAGTTTGAGTGCCTGGAAAATTTGAAACTGATAAGTGATGTCCCTTGCCATAGTAACGCTTTTCAGCTTCCAAAAGTATTATTCAGATTTCTACTCAAGCTTAAGAAGTTAACTTTGTCAAACACAATGTTCGATTGGAAAGAGGCGACTAAACTGGGCCAACTGCGATGCCTGGAGGTCCTAAAGTTGGAAAAGGAGGCATTCACAGGGAGTATATGGAAGCCGGAGGAAAATGAATTTCGGAAACTGCACATCTTGTCGATTCATAGTGATGACCTCCATACTTGGGTGGCTTCAAAATCTCACTTCCCCGAGCTTAGGGTACTTGTTCTTAAGTGTCCTCAGCTTGAGAGTGTGCCAGCTGAACTATCTCAGCTTCTGCAACAGAGTTAATTACTGGCCCTGAAAACATGCATGCTCTGAAAAGCATCAATTCTTTGCTCATTTGTGTGAAGCTGATCCCAGGGCCACTCAGTGAAGTTAAAAGGTCAGTTATAAATCTGCATTTTCCATATTACTTGTCCACTCAGTGCATATATGCGCTGAATTATGAGTCCAAATGATGTATTCACAGAGCGCTAGTTTCAAAACTTATCTGAAAACACTACTCTCCTTTTGATTGCAGGGAAGTTTGATCAACTGGGAGCCCGGGATCATCGACATATAGCTAAATAATGCTTCTTTAATATACTCATGTCACTGTGTCTCATGCATATTTTCTTGTCATCTTGTAAGATCATTACAAATGAAGAGAGCTTCTTGTCTTTTGTTTATTCATGTTAGTTAATAATAATAAGTCTCTTTATGATTTGAACTTTGGGTTTGTGTGGTCTACTATCTTCAAAGATATGTTAGAAGTCTCAAGAGTTATAACCTAGATATATGATTTTGGGGGTCCCAACATCTGGTGAGACGGACCCTGGTCTAATACTATGTTAAATTAAGTCTTAGACCTAACTCTCACTCCAAAAGTTAGCTCAAAAAACAAGTTAGTTAAAACACATGATTTTTTATGTTTTTAACATATTTATTGATTACAAATTAAATATTACTATATATATATAAATATATGAGCAACTTTGACATATAGCAAATAAAAAATTTATATTTGTATGCTATAACAAAGTTTGCATAATTGCGCTCCATAGCAAACATAAAACTGTATAATTCGCTATACATATACAATTGTATAATTCGCTGGCCTAAATTGTATAATTCGCTGGCCTATTTCACTGCAATTGTATAATTTGTTTTGCATACAGTTGAATCGAATCAAAATGTATGTATATTGCATAATTATATGTGTATAGCAAGAAGATATATATTTTTCTCGCTTTATAGAAAGACAGAAACACAATATATACACTTCCGTTTTATAAAGCTAGAGAAAATTGTATTTCACTGCAACTGTATAATTCGCAATTGTATAATTCGTTGGCCTTTTTCTCTGCAATATTTGAAATAAAATGTTTGTAAATTGTATAATTAAGTGTATAACACGAAGATATACATTTTTGCATGTGTATATACAATTTTCTCTCGCTTTATACAAAACAGAAACAAAATTATACACTTCTGTGTATAAAGCGAAAGAGGCGAGCGAGAATGGA